TGGTGGGAGCCGGTAAGTCGTGGCCCGAGGCCCTGTGGGGCGGCGGTGAGGGACGGAACCATGCCGAAACACCCACCGGGAGCCAAAGTCACCTGGGACGGCATGGGTGCCGGCGTGCCTTCTGCCAACGGCCTCTGCCAGCCACAAGCCCGGCGGTGCCCGCATCCCTCCGGCAGCTCCGGTGTCCCCCCTGGAGCAGGGCTGTCAGGAGCCCTCCGCACCCCGCAGCGCCCGGGGTCTTGCCAGCTTGCGAGTGCTGTTGCCGGCTGAATTGGAAAAAACAAAGGAAGAAAATCAGTGGAGAAAGGAATACAGTAGCTGTAATATATCTGTATTTTAGTACAAAGTTTGATACAGTGTTTCACAAAACCTTATTGAAAAATATAATTCAAACCAGACGAGCTCGGAGCCCTGTGGTGTGGGGGACTGGGACGGGCGCTTCCGGGCACTGCTGATCAAGAGGAGATGGTTTGCAAGGAGGATGTCGAAGGACCCAGTGTGGTCACCAGCGGTGGCGCAGCTACACATGGGGGAGAAGGGAGGGTGGGGAGCCCACCCTGTTCCCCCCCCGGGTGCTGAGCCTCCGTCCACGCAGGTTGGCACACGAGGGGGCCACGGGCCAGCGCGAGTCCCCTGGGAAAGGGTCTGTCCCACCCCGTGGCAAGGCAGGAGGTGGGGCGGGGGAAGTGTCTCGTCCATCACTAGGAGCGTTTCAACACTCCCCTTCTGCCCCTCCGTGGGTCCCCCCAGGGCTGCAGAGCCACAGTGCACCACGGGAGGTCTGTTGGCTCCTGGGCTGACACAGGCTGGTAGGAGCCTCCTGACATTCAGCAAATTCCTGTGTCTTCATGGAAAAATGCCTCACATGGCTCATCAGTGCAACGGCACGTGCTGGTACAGGAGCAGGGACAGCTTTCTAGGCTGTGTGAGCGTGAGGGCAGCCTGGGGACCTCTTGGCCATCTGGAGGGGTTTGGCCAGCTTGGTCTCCCCCGTACGGGACACACTCACAGCCCAGGCGAGCCCCGTGCAGGCACACAGCACGGAGGAGAGGCCGAGGGATGGGCTCCAGGGGAGAAGGGGAGAACATGTTGGTACCCACAGCTGCTTTGGGGGAAGGCATAGAGAAGGAGTCAGACCCTTCTGGGGGATGCACAGGGACAAGACGAGCCACAACAGACACAATCCCATGAGGGGGCAGGGGGAACGTTTTCACCCCAAGGGTGGTCAAACACCGGAGGCACTGGGCACCTTGGACACACCAGCTTTGAGGATCAGCACTTGGCACCAGGCGGGCCCCGCTGCAGGCTCAGCCCATCTCAGGCTTCCTAAGAAT